TAAATAGTCTTATTTTTTACATGAACTGGACACACCTCCCATAATGAACAAGGATATGAAAATTCATCCTTAGAGAGCTAGAGCACTGTGAAGATGGGGGAATTACTGTGAGGGTTGGTGTCTCCCTCCTGCAGTGAACATTCTTTCTCTTTGCTCATTTCAACATTAGCCCTTTTCTCCTATGGGAGGGAGCAGCTCATAAGCATCATGGTAAGTGTTGGAAGTGCAGGCAAGAGGGTTATAAAGTCTGTCACCGCAGGATTTTTATATCACCCAGATCTTATCCTTGTAGCCTGAAGGCAATGGCAGAGGCAGCCTATTGACATTAATCAAAGGTACAGACTGAGAAAGGATCCATTCCTAAGTTGCATATCCTGTCAGAATTTTACTGACCTGACAATTTAAAGGAGCAGACTATGATCAGGCAGGTTCCAATCCCAACCTCAACCACCGTGACCTTCCTCACTGTGCTTCATTGCTGCTCTGAATCTCAGAGGGACCAACCATAAGTGCAATGTGCTCCAGCAGACAATCCTGAGCTGACAGTTATGCTAATGGATTGTGTACCCAAAAGACAGAGAGAGCATCCCAAGCATGGTATAGGGTAAAACTCAGTACAGGCACCGAAATAGTTTCTTCCCCGATCTGTTGGCACAACCCACAGAGTTCTCTCTTAATCTTTGAAAACCAAAAATGAACTCATTCTACAGACAGACAGCAGTGATGCTTTGAAAGACTTCATAGTTTTTTCATGTAATGGAAACACAACCATTACACAAATGGGTAATAAACACTTTTCACAGTTTTCAACATATTGATCCATTGTAATTTAATACAAATTAAATAAAATACTTTGAAAATTCCTATTATGCTAGTAATAATGTCATTTATTACAGAAAAAAGATGACACCAATTATTGATGATTTTGGGGGAAAGGGAAACCATGATACATGGTTGTCGAGAGTGAACTGTTGCATTTCCTATGAAAATTTGTCTGGAATTTCCTCCAAAAACTAAAAATAGAAATGTCATGTGACTTAGCTACATCACTACTGGTCAGACACTTGACAAGTCTCTATGGCAAATATACCAGATCATTTGTGTTCAGTGTTGCCCTTTTTATAATAGCTAAGACCTGGAATCAGCCTAGAGGCCCATCAGCTAATGAATGGACAATGAAGATGTGGTTGAAGCCTGTCTGCTGTTCTATGGAGGAAACTATCTGACTCCATTTCAGATGCAGGAATCATTATGCTGTGTTTTTAAAAATAAATTTTTATTTAGAGTGAGAATTGAGTTGCTCTCTGTTTCCTGGAAAATGATTTTCCACAACCCATAACCTTGGTTTGTTCTTGAGAATACCCTGACTTCCATGACACCCCCCATGAATCATCCTAATCAAATGGTGGGTGGCCTCTTGATGTTTTTAATGTTTTTTTATTTTCTTTATTTCTCCACTGTCTCCCTTCTGTTAAACTACTCATAAGTTTATTCCTTAAAAGAGACCCAAGAGGTGTATTTGGAGCTGCTCTCTTTAACCTGACTTAGGAGCAGTCACTGGGCCACTCTTGGATGCATCCCAATAAAAATCAATCTTGCTTCAAGTTTGGCTCAAACTGCTGTAGTGGTCTTTCCCCAACATTGGGTTTAACACTATCTGTACTAGTATTAAGGTTAATGATCCTTATTAAACTTCTTAGTTCACTCATGGCAGATTCCACAAGCATACTGGATATCAATTATATTTCTAGCAAAACGGTAGGTTTAGTATTTCTAATTGCTGATGAAAATGATGACCCTTAGTCTGTGATCAGCAATGTTGTGTGTCTTTAAGTGACACAGTCACCATCAACTTTGTATACGTATTCTTGTACCTCCTGTGAAGAATAAATTATGCAGGGCCAGAATTAAAAACCTGGATTCAAGCCTTTAATCTCAGCATTCAGGAGGCAGGGCCAGAGGGATCACTGTGAGTTCAAGGCCAGCCTGGTATACAGAGCAAGATCCAGGACAGGCACCAAAACTACACAGAGAAACACTGTCTCAAGAAAACAAAAACAAAAAAAGAAAAAAAAAAGAAAACCTGGATTCACACAGACATTTAAGTCTCATGAAACTGGGATGGAGAGGTTAGATCTCCTGTAGGGAAAGGAAATAGTTTAGGTAGTTGTGAATACATGGGCATATGGCTAGAAGGGAAGATCAAAAGGGGGGGTGAGGAAAAGGGGAGCAACAGAGAAAATAAGGGGAAAGAGAGCTAAAACTTAGGGCCATTTGTGGAGTAGTATGAAAACCTAACACAGTAGATGATTCCAAAGTAGAAATGTAACACCAACATAAGCTAAAACTCCTTTGATTTACAATGGTATCCAGCCTCAAGGTATGCTAGGTCAATTATGGGAAAAAGCTTGTGGGAATAACCAACAATATATGAGTTGACAAAAGGCCCATAGAAAAAAATTTAATCCATACTATACACTAATTGAGTGACCAAGATTCTCAGTAGAGATAGTCCAAGAACCTAAGATAAAAATAAATATTATTGTTCTATGAAAAGAAGATTGCAATAAAAGAACCCACAATGATATTCTGCTAGTTTTAAAGATCATTGCTTGCTCAGCCATCATCTGAGAAGTTTCCTTGCTGTGGATGTTGCTCTTTATAAATAAAATCTGATTGGCCAGTAGCCAGGCAGGAAGTATAGGCAGGATGAACAAAGAAGAGAATTCTGGGAACAGGAAGGCTGAGTCAGGAGACCCTGCCAGATGCTACTATGAAAAGCAACATGTAAAGATACTGGTAAGCCACAAGCCATATGGCAAATTATAGACTAATAGAAATGGGTTAATTTATGTTGTAAGAACTAGATAGCTAGAAGCCTGAGCCATTAGACCAAAACAGTTTAAATAATATAAGAGTCTGTGTGTTTATTTTATAAGTGGGCTGTGGGACAGCCAGGACTTGGCAGGAGCTGGGGAGAATCTCTCCAGCTGAACCCTCTCCTGCAGCAGATGAAAATACATACAAAGACCCACAGCCAGACAATATTCTGAAAATGAGAGGCCTTGGAAAACCCATCACTATCTAATAAGTCTTCATCAAATCTCTCCCCTCAGAGCTCATGGAACACTGAACAAGAGGAGAAAAGAGTATAAGAGCCAGAGGGTAGAAATGCACCAAGCAAATAAGGTCTATAAATCAACAGGATAGTTGCAAATATAAATTCAAAGAGACTGAAATACATGCACAGAGCCTGTTGAGTCTGCACCAGATGGGGTACTAGAGCTGAAAGGAGAATTGGACACAAGCACCCACCCCTAACCAAGAAGCTATCTCCAATTGATAACCACCTACATGTGAAAAATTAGTTTTCTCTAAGGGAATTTCACTGAGGAAACCACTTTATTTCCAGCAGTGGATGGTCATCAGAAATCCAATTCAAATACAATTTTGGAGGTTCCTTGTCTCATAAGTTCACATGGCTTTTGTCATTTTACTTATTTATTTATTATTGGGTACCAGCCTCCACATTATTTACCCCAGGGACTCTTGAGGAATGAGAAATAACAGACTTCAGTAGAAATAGAAGAGAGAGAAACAGATAGAAATGCAGCATAGTCTCAGGTGGGCCTGGATCCTTATCCAGCAGTCCAAGAAATTTATTCCAAAGGTCTATTATAACAGTGCCAAGGGGAGGAGTAAAGGGCCTCTTCCTAGCTACTTACAGCCAAGTGTAAACCCTTACAAACACGTGATACTCAGGCCTATGGTCCAATCAACTTCTTATGTAGTCCTGCTGGGTACAGCCACAAGTAAACCTAGTGGCTCCAAGAATTTATCCCTTATTTCATCCTACGTTTTCTCTACATATATAGTATGTCTTATAATTTTGTGTCTTTTATGGGATTTCATAGTCCTTACATCAGGTCTCTTCAACCACACCTGCTTCTTCTGCCTTTTTAAAGCTCTTTTCTTTCTGTGTGCTTCGGTTTTTCTTTTCCAGTTACAATGTGTTAGTTTTTACTTTATCTCATTTTATTTTATTTTATTATTATTCACTAGAAGCTTGCTTGTTTTAAAAAGAGAGATAGCAAATTGTTGTATCTGGATTAGAAGGGAGGAGAGGTCTTTAGAGTTGAAGAGGGAGGAGAAACTGTAATCAGGATATATTATATGAAAAAATTATATTCTCTGAAAAAGAATTTGACCATCTGTAAAAACTACTAGAAAGATGAGAAAAGAGGAAAGGACTAATATTGTGGCCAAACACTGACACATGTTGCAAACTCCAAGAGGAGCCTCAGTTTGTACAGAGACCTGAGGGAGGAGAATGTCCCCTCTATCTTAATCCTTGGTCTCTGTGGTTGGGCTATCACACAACTGTTCCCATGATTCTGTCAATGTCTAACCTGGGTGGGCTGTGAGCCAGGACAGGATAAAGAAGGAATGGGGTCCCTCAGTAAGATTCATGGTGTGCAGATTTCCCAGCTGCTTCTCTCAGCATGTGCTTTCTCTACATCCCACAGCCTGGATGGAGCAAGAAGTAGGTGTGGACCCATCGTAACAACAATATGACAGTCTGCCAATTATCTAGGAAAGATAAAAACCCATCTCATGTGTGGGAAAAGAAAAAAGAGCAGGAGTGTGTCAGCTTACTAATCAGAAAGATAGTGCCGAGGAACCTAGTGTGGAAAGAAGGTTGGCACTGACCTGAGACAGCAATAGTACAGGAGCAGAATGGAGGTGGGAAGGTTGGACTAGGAAGTGGAGATGAGGACATGCCAAGGTGTGTTTCCTGTGATCCCTGTAGTCCTCATGCTCTCTTACACCAGACTCACACTACAGAAGTCAGATACAGTGATGGCCATATTATGACAGACAAATGGAGTATTATCTACCCTCCCCATTTATAAAGACAGGGCCGACTCCCCACATGCAAATGCATCTTCTAGCTCTAAGTTAAATCTCCTCCTAAACTGTGCGAGCTCACATCTCTCTCACAGGAGGCTGACCTCTGAGGAAAAGGAGGTGTAGCCTAGAAGATGACACTGTTGGGTCTTCTGTGTCTGGTGACAGCCCTTCCTGGTGAGTGTTACCATTTCATACATGTGTCCATGGGGGGTTGTGACAACCTGTGATTGACAGAACTGTCTCTTCTTGTCTGAAGGTATCCTGTCCCAGGTACAGCTTCAGGAGTCAGGACCTGGCCTGGTGAAGCCCTCACAGTCACTGTCTCTCACCTGCTCTGTCACTGGTTACTCCATCACCAGTGGTTACTGTTGGACCTGGATCAGACAGTCCTCAGGGAAGAAGCTGGAGTGGATGGGGTGCATAGATTATGGTGGTAGCACCTATTACAACCCATCCCTGCAGAGCCGCATCTCCATCACCAGAGAAACATCCAAGAACCAGTTCTCCCTGCAGCTGAACTCTGTGACCACTGAGGACACAGCCACATATTACTGTGCAAGAGACACAGTGAGGAGACTTCAGCATGAGCCCAGACACAAACCTCCCTGAAGTGGAGCTCTGGACCAGCAGGGGGCGCTCAGCACTAACCAAGCACAGGAACTATAAGACTTCAGAGCTGGAAAGAAAAAAATTCTGGTGTTCTCTGACTTTGCTTTTCACTTTCTAAGGGCCTCGCTAGGCTTTGGCATCATTTCTTTCTCTGATCATGAGAAACTGTGTTTTTTTTAAAGTCACGTTTGCCTGTTTCACACCGTGACTTTCAAGATGGTGTTTGTGGTAATATTTTTCGTCCTTTGGGTTGTGATTCTAGCCTTTACAAGCTGAGCCATTTTTCTGGGTTAGGAAATTTTTTTAAATGAAAACATCTTTTTGAACCTCAGTTGACCTTGGCATCGCAGTAATTGTCTAATTAAGAAATAAATTCTGGCCGGGCGGTGGTGGCGCACGCCTTTAATCCCAGCACTCGGGAGGCAGAGCCAGGCGGATCTCTGTGAGTTCGAGGCCAGCCTGGGC